CCCCTTCTTTCCTGCCATGCCTTGGTCATACAAAAAAATTGGGAGGGTCCTGTGATGTATGCAACAGGCTCCCCATGGGGTTACTCACGTGCCTGGGTGCAAAGGACTTGGTGCTTTGTCTCCCCTACACCCTGCCGACTCGCCAACCATAGATGGTGGTGACTCCAAGGCAGTCCTCGCTCCTCCTGGCCTCTGCACCAGCCCTAGTGGCCCAAAAGAAAATGGTGCGAGCGCATCATCTGGCCCTTGACCCCATTGCCACCTGGGGCGGTAATCGTGTCTGCTGCTTCTGCCTGCTGGCTGATGAGGCATTGCTTGTAAAAAGGACTAACCAGAAGAAATTCTGAAGATTGAAACAAATACTCCCCTCATAGTCAGGGGCCAGGGTCGGTTGACCCTTTCTCCTGGGTGTCTTGCCAGGTAGGTAAGTGAGGGCTTTCTCAGCCTTTGCCCTTGGGCCCTGCTCCAAGCCTAGTCCCTCGGGCCTTCATCTGCTCGGATGAGGCTCCCTGCTAAACAGGAGGGACAATGCCAAACACAAAAAAGAAAGAAAACGCCTGGTCCCCACTGGTGCCGTCTCCAGGGAAAGGGTGGGGGAAGGCAGAGAAGGGGGAATCTGGTTCCCCACAGCTGCTGTGTCCGAGCCTTGGCCCTGCATGTACCATGCAGCCCTGGAGCCTGCCGGCCGGACCTACTACCAGGCTTTTGTCGCCCGGTGATCCTCTCCCATCATGGCATGTCCTGGGTGCTCTTAAACCTGGTGTCGGGTCACCTTGCCCTGATGTCATCTGCCAGTTGCTGCCCAGGCAGATGGAGATGGAGCTGATAAAGCAGTGCAGCTGCACCTCGCCGGTCCATGTTCTTTTCTGTCGGCGGGTATGTCTTCGGGGTTCCCCACCGGGGTAAGCCTCCCTTCCGGGGGGGGTCCCTCGTGGGGCTGGGCAGGTCTTTCCGGTCTCCACCACCACAAGGTGTCTGTAAGTGTTTCTGGTTCCATGGATGCTCCACTGCTACGTGGTGATGACGGAAGGATAATTCACCTTGCACGTGCAGTGTGCCATAGACTTTGCCCAGGATTTATCCATGAGTACTACTGCAGTCTTCCTCAGCCTGAAGAAGGGTGTTCGTACCCGAAAGCTTGCAAAGAAGAATTTTTCCAGCTATTTTAGTTGGTCTAATAAAATATATCGGATTTATCGAAAGAACTGAAAGAGAGTCCAGAGAAGAGCCACTCATATGATTATAGACATGAAGAGCAAGCTATATGAGGAAAGGCTGACAGATACAGGACTGTTCAGCCTAGAAAAGAGAAGATTTTGGGGGGATTTGGTGGCAGCTTACAAATATATCAGGGGAGAGCATCAGGGGCTAGGCAAACATCTATTCACCAAAGCGCCCCAGGGGAAAGCCAGGAGCAATGGTCGTAAACTCCTAAGAGAAGGTTTCAGACTGGATATAAGGAAAAACTTCTTTATGGTTTGTGTGACCAGACTCTGGAATAGATTCCCAGCAGGGTGCCGCAGGCGCCTACCCCGGAGATCTCCAAAGGAGACTGGACACACACCTTGCTGGGGTTGTTTGACCCCAGCAGTCTTTCCTGCCCAGAGCAGGGGGGACTGGCCCGATGATCTCACGAGGTCCCTTCCGGCCCTAAACTTCTGTGAATGTGTGAACCTTGTCTGCCCATGAGTGTTAAGCATTATGAGCAACTTGGAGACAGATGAAACACTGAGATGCAAGAGGTGGCGTGAGGGACTGGGTGAGGCATTCAGTGTAGGAGGCTTTTGAAAAGAGGTGGGATTTGGAGGAAGAAGAGGGTGACTGGTGTATGCAAAGCAGGAAGTCATTCAAAGCATAAAGGGTTGGGGGTAGGGACTGAAAGAAGAGGCAGAGCAAGAGGAGATAGAGGGAGCAGTGCAGGCAAATCCTGCAGAGCAGTGCATGGCCCAACAAACAGGCTGTGGACTGCGATTGCTTGCAAGAGAAAGGGCAAATTTTGGTGGTGGGCAGTGGGACTATACACATAGCCTTCACACCAGGGCTATAGCTCCACTTCTCTGGCCTGACCCACTTCCAAGGTCTCTGCATAACAGTGCGGCGTGCTCCCCAGCATGCTGCGCCCCTTGCAGGCGACATGCATCCCGGTACGGTATCTCCACATCACCCCCTGGCTGTGTCCAGGGGCTTCCACAGTCAGGTGTTTGAGTGTGTGTGAGGGCGATAACGTCAGGGTTGGCCCCTGGAAGCCTGAGTAGAGAACTAAACAGGGCTTGTATGAGGTATCGGGGAGGGAAGTCAGTGTAATGTTCCAGTATTACTGGGTGATGAGGGCAATGGACTTGTACAGCCTTCACATTTGCTGCTAGCAATACCCTTTCCTACCTGCTTTTTTTTTCTTTCCCAGGGTGTTTCAGTAGCAACAGTGTAAGTATCAAAGGTTAAGGCTTTGAAATGTGATTTCCTGTCCTCAGTCCTTGGCCTTAAGGCAGTCAGCAGGAGCTGCAATGCTCACATGGTTTTGCAATAATTTTCGTTCATGCATAGATCAGTTAAAGCTTTGTCAAGCACCAGTAATCTTGAGTTAAGCTCTCCTGCATTTTGCATTGCCAGTTCAGTTTGGGAAATCCTAAATGAAGAAGAAGGTGAATAGCTCTGTAAGATCACTGTTGCATGTTAAACAGGGTGGGCTAGCAGTTATTAAGAGTGAGAGGAAGACAGATCCCATTGTTGCTGTGTTTGTGCCTACAGCAGCAATGATCTGCCTTTGCGACACCACACAGTTCACCCAGATGGCAATAGCCTTCACCTGAGCTGAGAATTTGGCTTTCTGTGTTTAAATACAGCTGAATCCCATTTGGCAGAGTTCATTTGGCACTTAAATGAGTCTGCTTAGCGTGGACGTTTGGCTGATTGATGGTTCAGGGTTACATTCTGACTCTTGGACAAACCTCAAGCAAACAGGCCTTGCACAAGATTTCATTATCCACAACTCGCAGTGGATGGTTAGAAGCATGGGCTGGAGGCTTTTTATTTTAGTCAGGAAGATCCTGGAGATGTGCCCATTTCACCCCTTCTGACTTCAGTACACGGTAGCATGAAACAAAAAGCTTCTACAGAGCATTACATGGATTTGGGGGGTTTTTCAACTAATGCAACTGAAATGGGTGAGTTGTATCAGTTGAGGCAAGTGTTAGCGCCAACTGGATTTTTCAAAGTCTGTCGAAGGTGCACAAACTAATCCTGCCTCAGCTCATCCTTACATCTTCTCTGAGACGCTTGCTTTTCTTAAGAGAGTGCCCTCAATTCTCTTTGTAAAAGAAAGTATTCCTTGCATTGATGCTAGGAAGGAAGAGCCATAAGGAGAGTAATTAGAATGGGATTCAAATAATTCGCAGCCATTTCTCTGCCAATAAAATAAAGCCTGTGTTCTTTTGTTTTGTTTGTACAAGCTATAAAATTTGCCCTGCAATTTGCTAATATTAAAAAGACTAAATAAACTGCTGACATATTCCCAGATTAAATGTTTCTGTTTTCTCACAATAAACTTGGCTACTCTCCAACAAGGATGACTTGCTTGAAAACATAAAAAGCTTTAAGTACATCTAAAATCTACTCAAGTGCCCTTGAAAAGTGGTTGAATGGATCTTTGCCACAAGAACATTTGCAAATGGGGAAAGTTTTACCTCTAGGAATTTGCTTTGCTGCCATTTCAAAAGCCCTTTCATAATGACAGCAGCTTCTCACTTTAAAGGACAAAGGTCCTTCAAATCAGCAAAGCTCACAAGTAGATTGGAATTTCTCACTTCTACAGATGCCCCGTAACACAAACCACAGAGGAAGCATTTCTAACACAGGAACCAGCAAATCTAGGATTATCCCATCCGACTGTTTGTGTCAAAGCTCTTTAGCCACAGCACTTGCAGAAAAAACTAAAGTAGCTGGGGAGCATACATTTATTTTGTTCCCAAATAACCTGTGAGAATCATATGGATCTTTCTGTGATGTGATGTTTGGTATCTGGATTTAACATGACTGAGTTCCTTTTCTGGTAAGGGTGCTTGGATAAAGAACAAGGGGCTGGGGCCTGGGCCTGTTTAGCTTTCCATGCTCGGTTGCATGCAAATGGGGCAAATTTGCAGCAACCGAACTGCAGGTTGTGGCACTTGTGCACCGTTTGGGATTCTGGTCTGCCCTGTGGTAGAACAGAATCACTGCATGCATGGACCTGCTGGGAGTAAAATGGTGGTGGAAGAGGAAGGACCCACCTGCCTTTCAGCCAGCAGAAGGGGGGACCTGGTTCTACATCCCCCTTACCTTCTACGGGAGGCAAAGATGCTGTCCTGTAGAAAGCCAGGTTTGTAAATACCTATGTGCACACAATCATGGTTAATCATAAAGTGCCTGTAAAATATGACTCTGAATTCTTCAGTGGTTCGGCATGCAGCTCTAAGCATGTTTCTTGTTAAATATAGACATCTAAAAATTGTCTAATGCCAATGGTGCATCAGGCCTCCTAGAGTGAGCCAGTTCTTGTTACTTCATAATTGGTAACCGCTGGTCCTGTTTCATTCTGATTGCCGAGACCACAATACTGCATTCTAGTTAACTTTCTGTAGCACCTAAAATTTTGGGAAAACTCCTGCAAAACGCACTGAATAGAAATTAATGATGTTTGTGGAGGCTGTTGATACTCTTCCAGCTATTAGAATAGCATCACTGAAGGCTCAGTCTGCATCCTGTGCCCATGTGAGTAGCTGGGGCAGTTTGTTAGCATAGGGATTCCACAACAGCGAGTTTGGGACCCCAGATTTGCCTTTTTTCTGCTCAGTCTGCGCATTCCCTCTCATTGGATTTAGCCCTTTGGGAATTAGTGAATTTGCTTCTTGGCAGTCTCAGTTGGTAAGACGCTGAGGCCTCTGGAAAGGGGCAGAGCATCCTTATGGGGTTGCCTGTTTCCAAGATTTATTAGGTTGCTAATGGCATTTCTCATTTCTCTTCAGCCATGTAACACAGACAACATCATGGATCCATCCTGTAACCAGCGCACTGAGCTTGTCCTGTTCTGAGGAGAGTGAGGAAGACGGCACCAGAGAGCTAGCAGAGCCCAGGAGCTGAGGACGTCTGTTGGTAGATAGTAGTTTCACTCGTTCTTACCCAGTAATCAGAAGACCGCGCTTTCCTGTAGTCTAGCATATTACACCTGATCTTGCTGCGCTTGAACTCAAAGGGAGTTGTGTCATTGATTTATGTGGGATCAGTTTCATGGGTGAAATTCACCTCTGCAAAAGGTCTGTGTCTTACATACGTAAGTTCTCTTAAATCCCGAAGGGCTTGTTTAGTGCACAGGGTCTGCCCAGCTTGCAGGTACAGGGGTGAACCTTACCCTTGTCCCTTTAGGACCTTATCCTCTCCTGTCTTCAGTTCTATGTGGCTGTAACTCCATTGTCTTGAACTGAGTTAATTGCCATTTGCAGCAGCATGAGAGGGGCACATTGGATGTAATTCCCAGAGAAACTTTCTGTCACTGGTTGGTGGACGAGTTTTTTTACCAAAACTAGTAGGTGTAACACAGAAGCCTTTTGTGTAACTACTGAGTGTATGATTTTTATAAAAGATTTCATATGTATTTTGCTATCAGAAGTTTATGGCAATTTCGTACGAATACTGAAGCCCAGATGATTTTTTTTTTTTTACCATTATTTTTATGGCAGTTAATGATTCGGCTTTAGAAAAAATAAGGTCTGGAAAGTTGTTGACCCCAGTTCTGGTAGAGGACACTCTTCTCTGTCAGCATAATTATGCAGGAATGAAAACTGTTTCACTTTTGTACTCTGCTAAACTGGTACACATACGCATTGAATGTTTCTGTGGAAGCTGTGAAGTTTCAAGTACAATGAAACCTGTGAAACCACCTCCAGGATCAGCAGAAATCAGTCACCTCCTTGAAGCTGGGCTTTAAGTAGAAGTAAAACAAAATCATTCTGGAAACCCTGGTGATGATTTGAAGGGGTGGCTGAAAAGGACCAGGACTGCTAGAGAAGCTACAAGCAGGTTTCACTGTACACAAGCAGCACAAGACTTCTTAAGACTGTGTTGCTCACAGCATGCAATACGATGGCTGCTTTGTCGACTGTTTGATTCTACAATCGGTCATTCCTGTGGCTCTTTATATGTGTACATATGTCAGGTATTGACTAACAAATTAAATAAGGAAAACAGACTTTGCAGAAGCACTGATCAACATGCCAGAGGAAAACAGTATTTTTTGACAGTAAGGACCAAGATATGGGGCTCTACTGTAAGGAAATTAGGATGACAGGCTGACGCAGCTGAGTCATTCTGCAAAGGGAAGTTGAAAGTATATTTAAGAAGCTGAGAACTGTGCATCTCTCCAGGTGAAATGGGATGCCTCCCTGGTCCTTGCCATTCAAGCCAGGACGTTGCCAGTAGCTACACCTGAGACATCTAGTGGGTGAAACAGAATTTAGGCCTTTGTTGTCTGCTTTTAATTAGTGTGGGGCTAAGTTACCCATGGATGTGGGGCCTGTGCCCTTTTGAGGGGGCAAAGAGGGTGTTCAGGAAAAGCTGGATCAGCAGATCCACAGTAACTTGCATCCAATGAACAAATCCTCCATGTGCAACAGCAGCCCTGGGAGTTGCTGTGCTGTAGCCATTCTCTTTCCACTAGCCCTCAGTTGCTTCGTGGCTTGAGGGAGGACGGTGCCTCCAAATAATGACCTGGCACCACTGAGCAGAGCTCATTTGCTTGTGCTTTATACAGTCCTCTGAGGTGCAGACCTTGGACTCAGACCCAGCACAGATATATAAACTGCTCACCAGACCTATCTGGCTTTCTGACAATGTTAACTTTGGCTCTAGCAATAATGTAGGTGCTTTATGTATGACAGATCCTTTCAGGATGGAAGACTTTGGGCATTTGGGTTTTAATCAGGAAGCATTTAAAAAATCTGGTCAGTCAGCCTGCATGTAGACTGCTTTTCTGCTTCTGTTGTGAGACATGTGAACTGGGCTGTTGAGCTGTGCTGTCCTCATAGGACTTGATTTAGCCCGGAGTTTTGCCGTCGCAAAGTGTAAGGCAGCACTAGGTAGTTGCAGCATCAGTCCACTAGCAGCTCCCCAGGCACGCTCCAGCAGGAATCGCACGGCATTTAAAGCTGCCCTTTCGTTGGACCGGGTGGAGGAGGACAGCCATGTACACTCTGCCTGTCTTTCCCCAAGGAACCCCCTACCCCGAGCATGCTATTCACAGCCCACCGCACCAGTCAAAAAAAACGCTGGCCTTCTGCTGTGCTTGCTGTCTCCACCCACATCTGAGAACATTTCAGCAATTCAGAGCACGTTCTAGTCTCTCTTCCATTTTTACCTTGTAATTAAGGACTACTTAAAAAAAGATCTCTGCATCCATCTAGTTTCTTCCTTATTCAAGTGTTGGTTCTTCAGATAAGCTACCCTAGTTCATATTCTCCACCTCTGGTCTCTTTTTTTCATACCTGTAATCTCCAAATGTTCTAGTCTATTTTTGTAAGCTGGCATACTTGTTTCCTAGGTTATCCTCTCTCTCTCCCTCCCTCCCTCTCCCTTCTTTTTTCTCTCTCTCTCTGCGAAGTAGTTTGCAAAACAATTTTGATTAAGCTGAATTGTATAAACTGAGAAAATGGGTCTAGAATAATGTAATGCAAATTTGTAAAGAGGAATTGTCAAAATACGCAGTGATGTAATGGCTAGTTTACATTTTTACTGCACAATAAAACATCCTGACTTCAAGAGAAATGGAAGTATAACATTGTAGTCTATAAAACAATAAAACAGTGGCTTTGCAAGAAAATAGATATTGGATCCCTAACATGGCTTCCTATGCATCTGCCTTCTGTGTACATTTAACACCCTTAAAATATGCTTCTGCTATACAATTATCCTTAGCGCTTGCACTTCTCACTGGAAATACTGCAGATACTCTAGTAAGTGTAGTTGCTACATCATGAGCTTATTAGAGTGATTACTTCTATCTAAATACCTAGTGCAGCAGGTTCAACATCAACTTTGGGAGGTGCTAAAACTTTCTCATTAAAATGCTTCCCATTGTTTCAGTTTAAAAAATAAACACCAGTTCCTGCCTCAGCCACACTGCCAAGCAGAGAAGGTAAGTCCTTATCCGCTGTTGTTTCCTACTGTGTGACATGCCACCCCTAACAACCATGACAGGAGGGCGAGGCCCTTGCACCATGTCTGCCTCCAGAAGCACCGCACTGCAGTTGGTGGAGTTTTACAGTTCATTTCAGCTGCAGCTCTGAAGATTTCAGGGCAGGAGTGTCGAAAGGCCCTGAGTGCAGCAATGTATATTCCCATTGCTTGTTATTTAAGCATAGTAGCTCCAAAGGATGGTCCTCAATCAATGCCTGCTTCAGAAAGCCCTTTTCAGTACCATAAACCGGTGACGTGAACCCCCCTCTCTGTATTTAAATTGCACTTGTGCTGATGTCAAGCTCTTGTGCTTCTATCAGAGCAAAATTTATTGAAAGGTCTGTGGGGCCAGAAATGTTTCCTACCACACGTTTGTACCCAATGGGTCTCCGATCTCAGCTGGAGCTCTCAGGCACTACCACCAAACCATAAAATAAGTAACAATTAATTAAAAGGAAAGAAAATCCAACACACAAACAACAGCATTTCCTCTTTTCCTGAAATACACTCTCCACAACTGATCCAACCCATTAATTAGCTGGTTTGTTTCAGAACATATTTGGCTCATGGGAGCTATCTATTGCCTGACCACATCTACCCCACAGGCACAGGCATTTTTCTTTCAATTAACTAAGCCTACCAGGATTTCTTTATTGCTGTTAGAGAATGGGGCTTCATTGTGGGAAAGTTACCCCC